CGTTGTAGCCTAAACGTTTATGTGTAATAAATTTTATGTTGAATCAAATAAAATATTTAAATGTTTCTTTCTTTCTCATTTAACACAAAAATAGATTTAAATAATCTTTTGTGGGTATTTTCACAGTCAAGCTTATTTTGCAATTAATTAGATTAATTAATCGACACATCATGTAATTAATTAGATTAAAAATTTTAATCGACTGACAGCCCTAATATATATATATATACATATATATAGTTCATAATATTTAAGTTAAATTTACTTTATCAAACAAAGTACGAGACTTAGAAACTTGGAAAAGGTTTTGGCACTTGCTGTGAACACACACACAAAAAAAAAAAAAAATCCAAACGGTTAAATGCTCCTGAAAGAAATGGTGTACTGTACTGTTCATGGTAAGAGTAAAACATGTTTTGGAAAATATATTTTATATAACATTTTAAAATAGTGTTTTTTGGGGGGCATTTTCCACAATAATAAACTTAAACTTCTATTATTTTTACTTTTTTTTTTTTCCACTTTAGCAATAATCTATCAAGTGTCTTCTTTAAGAGACCAAATTTATCATTTACCATATTCACTTATTAACTTTTGTTGTAATATTAACTTTTGTTTACCAGGATAAAACATAAATGTCCTTCATTTTGGATCTTTTCAGACAGATCGTGAGAGAAACACACACACACACTTAACCTGTGAAAACGCATTCACCACTGACCATGAATCATCTTTCCTCACCTGTGACTTTCTGTGCAGCCCAGAGTTTCCCAGCAGTCTCTAGGACCCAGGCTTCCTGTCGGTCCACTAGTAAGAAGGTATTATGGTAGTTAAAGGGTTCGGCGGTCTCTCTGCAGGCTCCGCCCTGACCGTGCTGCTCCAGCAGATCTGTGATCACATTCAGAGCGGCCCATGCGCTGTCCCCGCGCTCCAGACCCAGCCTCGACACACACAATATACATCAGCTGATCAATTTGAAGTCTAGAAAGCAGGAAGATAAAGACGTTTGCTTGTTTGGAGCTCACCGAACCAGGTCCATTCCCAGCAGAGCTTCTTCTGGATCCACAGGCTCCTTGGTCCAGACGGCCTCATTCCCAATACACACCCCGTGTTCATTAGCCCCCATCTCAGCCCCCCAGAGCCAAGCGGGTCTGCTCAGCACAACCGCATGAGTGTGCTCTGAGGAATGGAAATATATGTGCACTACATGGAAAAGAGAATCACCTGTAAATCATCTATGGTTTGGCCACAACTCAGCAACCACATATTTGGAGGAGAAAGGGGAGAAAATATGAAACATATATTGAAATATATTTTAAATAGAAAGTAGGTATTTTATATACCAATATTGATGAAATTAAAAAGTCAGTTCACCTCCACTGTAGATCCGGGAGCGTGTGAGGATGCAGGGTAACACACCAGCTCCTGCACCTCATCTCTCGGCCGGTCAGAGTTCTTACCAAATATCACATAATCTTCTTTTGAACCCGGAGGCAGAGATACAAAACAGTCACATGACCGAGGCGGTTCAGCCATCCTGTATCAAATCAATGCATAAGGATCAATGCGGTGGATCATATTCAAATGACAATAACATACCTATGCACAATGGAAAGAATAGCAGTATGGAAAAAGGACCGAAAATATGACATGTGTAGGCTTAGATACCTAGTCAAAAAAAGCTGAAAAATAAAATAAAAATGAATCTGGAACAGATTATTTCAATGTGAACTTGGACCACAAAACCAGTCTTAAGTAGCATGGGTATATTTGTAGCAATAGCCAACAATACATTGTATGGGTCAAAATTATCCATTTATTTTTCTTTTATGCCAAAAATCAATCATGTTCCATTAAGATACTTTGTAGATTTCCTACCATAAATATATGAAAACTTAATTTTTGATTAGTAATATGCATTGCTAAGGACTTCATTTGGACAACTTTAAAGGCGATTTTCTCAGTATTTAGATTTCTTTTTTTTTTTTCACCCTCAGATTCCAGATTTTCAAATGTTGTCATATTCTAACAAACCATACATCAATGGAAAGCGTATTTATTCAGCTTTCAGATGATTTATAAATCTCAATTTTTAAAAAAAAATTGACCCTTATGACTGGTTTTGTGGTCCAGGGTCACAAACGTTCAATAATTCAAATACTCGATTCATTTTTAATTTTGGAATTTAAACTCTGCCAAAAATCCAACTGCTAAATATAAATATTCCAAATAATTAAATTATTACATTGAAATATTCCAACATAATACAGAATAAAATGTTGCAGGAGCACTAATAGAATTTATTTTAAAAAATTAAATTTTATTTAGAATTAAAGGATTTTATTGAAGAAAAAAAAAAACACATGGATACTCCAATAATGATAATGATGACTGCGCATTAAAAAACTGAACACATTTTGTTCGTTGTTGGCGTCAAACAACAGTAATAATAGATATAATAATAATACGCATTTATTAAAATGCAATACATAAAACCAAATAATACTAACAACTAAAAGTCCTGAGAAAGCACGGCTGAGCGTGTCGTGCAGGTTTGTGCGCTCACAGGAGTGCTGAGGATTACTGTGGTGTTAAGTCTCTTATCGCCTGACCTCCATTTCACCGATTCTTCCGCTCCGATCTTCAGATGCACAGCACAAAAGCTGCTTTTAAGATCTGAATGCAGTGTTTCAGAAGAGAGGATTTTAAGATCTGATAGTCTATGGATGGCCTGTGTGTCTGATAACGGATCATCAATATAAAGATGCAATAAAACACATGCATCAAAATTAACGCGTGACAGCCATGTGCATGCTTAATTTGGCTTTTAATCTAACTGTCTAGCGCACGTTCGAGTGTATTTGATGAAGTTATTATTACCTTAATAAGCTCCAGATCGGTCAGCGAGCCTGTGAGAGGCAGGGCTGAGACTGATCAACCTGTTACTGCACACACTTCAAAATGAAAGTCCTCTTAACACAGCGACTCCTATCTTGGTAAGCTTGATCTGTGTGAGGCAGGGAAGAGAAGGATGCGAATCATCAACCTGCTACTGCACACACTTCAAAATAAAAGTCCTAGACTCCACTGAACCGATATTATTTACATATTAACCAGAAAGATTGCAACAGCAAAGTGTTTTGACATAGTATTTTGAAGAACACTCTATAAGGACGTATAATAATCCACAGAACTGTTTTTGTTATTATTTTGGAATAAATGTAAATGCTTAAAAACACTAAACTGATGAGATTTATACTTGGTTTTCATAAATAGAATAATTACATGTTAATGTAAAAATAGAACATAGATGTTTATTCTGGTTGTGTAAAACTTTTGAACAGAATGAAGACATTTTTCTTATTTTGCTTAAATATCATATTTTTCATTTAGTACTGCCCTTCAGATGCTACAGAAGATACACTGAACAAAATTATAAACGCAACACTTTTGTTTTTGCCCCCATTTGTCATGAGCTGAACTCAAAGATCTAAGACTTTTTCTATGTACACAAAAGGCCTATTTCTCTCAAATATTGTTCAGAAATCTGTCTAAATCTGTGTTAGTGAGCACTTCTCCTTTGCCGAGATAATCCATCCACCTCACAGGTGTGGCATATCAAGATGCTGATTAGACAGCATGATTATTACTGACTGGTTTTCGGACCCCCCCGGACCCCCCAATACAGTAAAACTGCACATTTTAGAGTGGCCTTTTATTGTGGCCAGCCTAAGGCACACCTGTGCAATAATCATGCTGTCTAATCAGCATCTTGATATGCCACACCTGTGAGGTGGATGGATTATCTCGGCAAAGGAGAAGTGCTCACTAACACAGATTTAGACAGATTTCTGAACAATATTTGAGAGAAATAGGCCTTTTGTGTACATAGAAAAAGTCTTAGATCTTTGAGTTCAGCTCATGAAAAATGGGGGCAAAAACAAAAGTGTTGCGTTTATAATTTTGATCAGTGTAGTTACATGTTTCCCAGAAGACAAAATAAGTTAAATTTACCCTGATCTTCAAATTTGAAAAGTTTTAATTAATGCATGGTTTTTCTTTCTGGAGCATCAGTAAGCGTTTGAACCTTCTGTAATAGTTGCATATGAGTCCCTCAGTTGTCCTCAGTGTGACAAGATGCATCTCAAAATCATTCAGTCATTGTTGGAAAGGGTTCAAATACACAAAAATGCTGGAAAACCAAAGAATTTGTGGGACCTGAAGGAGTTTTTCTGAAGAACAGCAGGCGGTTTATCTGTTCAGGACAAACAAGGGACTCATGAACAACTATCCCTAAACAAAAAAACACAGCTGTGGGTCATTCAGGTAACAACAGTATTAAGAATTAATTTTAATGTAAACTTTTGAACGGGGTCATTTTTATAAATTCAACTATTATTTTCTCTTGTGGACTTTGTAAACATCTTTTATGTGAAATATCTTATGTCAGTAAATAAACAATAGCATGCATTTTGTATGATCCCTCTTATTTTGGTAAAATAATTAACATTTTGCAGATACTGCAAGGTGTATATAAACGTTTGACTTCAACTATATATACATTTGAACAGGTTTTTTTTTTTTTTTTGTAATCGCACATGCCATCCACTAGTTAGGTGGCTACAATTGCACAGAAATGGACAAATAATCATCACTCAGCAAGTCATATATATATAGTCAACTATATATTACTATGTTTTTGAACTTTGTCTTTAAAACACATTAAAATGCAAACATTCATGTCATTTATAGCGTAATCCACACACACACACACACACACACATGCCAAACTGACTGCATTCAGATTTATGGATATATCTAAGAAAATCTGGATAAAAATCTGTGCAATTTAAGACTTTGTAATAGCTTATATGAGACAGAAAACCGCTGATATAACACAAGTTGTGTCACTGTACCACTATTTTATGTCTATGTGGTATAGCTGCTTTCATGCGTTTTAATGCTTGTACTATAGCGTGAAAGTAATAAAACACACTGAATAAAGACAACAAAGTGTTTTATTTATAAATTCACAGTTTCTAATGGCACTACACTGCTGTAGTTACAATTGGAAAAACAAAAAATCTAATACTGTGCAGTTCGTCCTCACAGATGATGAGATTTCATTTGGGCGCCACCTAGCGGACGTTTAAATAAATCAGGCATCCGCCACTAGAGGGCGCCGTACCAAGGAAAGCCTGGGGCGAAAAAGCACTTGTACAAGGTATGGTGTAGAAAAACGAAGGCATGTGGAGTTCTCCAAAGTGCACAGGAGAGACACACGCAGCGGTCTCTACTCACTGGTGTACTGGAAAGAATCATCAACATACACACTGATGAGAAAACATCCACAAATTCCACAAGCATATATCAGTTACCATTCAAAAAGGAGAAAGGTAGTGAAACATTTTAAAGTGAAACATGTAGCATGGAAATCACAGAGATGGTCCATTGCACGCCATCCCAATCTTTCCCTTTTATTGAAATCATGATGTGAATTCACATTCTCTAAACCCCACAGTCTGATTAAAGGTCAATGATGGGATCGCCTGCGTGAAAGAAAACACAATCTTACACAACACAAAGATCTGACACAGAAACTCTACTGGGATGTCAAATGGTCTCTTGGATGCATTAAAAACAACTAAGAAAGCAGCGAACACACACACACAGAAAGTGTGTTAAGAGGGACATGGAGTGTGTAAAGAGAAGATGCTGGACACACACACACACACACACACAATCTTTACACGTACATGACAGGTAGGACAGACCAGACGGTTGCTTTGCTGGACTATGCATAATATTTGCACAACAACGAGAGCTCGGCCGTTTTTACGATTCACCTCGATTCCAGTAACCCAAAGGCAAAGCTCGTCCAAACAGATCCAGCGAGAAGGAGCAAATCACAGCCAGAAGCTGAGCCAATCAGATGTTACGAGCGTTAGAAGGGATTTATCTGATGCTTCATTTGATTTGAATGCAAAAAAAAGTTTAAGAAGTCAAAAGCTGAATCCAGCTTTCTCAAATCACAGAGTGTGCAATCTTTAGAGAACAGGAAGATGTTGTCCGTACCATTTGTGTGTATCTGTAATAAATCTCTTACATGGAGGTTGGAGGGGCCACTGTATCTCATATATCACATGACCGTGATCTCATAGAGCCCAGGTCCCATTTAAATAAATAAATACATAAATAATTACCACTAAAATAACAGAATGTCCCCTACAAAATCCCCGTGTATATTTAAAGCGTGTAAAAATGTGTCTTTTTTTATGACGGCTCCACTGAACATGAAGAAAATGAGCTGTAAACATGCTTGAGATGCTGTTGGGTGCGTCACAATGTGAACATGTTGATATATGAATATGTGTGTGTGTGTGTGTGTGTGTGTGTGTGAGTGTTCAGGCCCAGCCTGGACTCATTGGTCAAACTAGATCGTGATTCGAATAGTAGAGGGGGGGGAAAAAAAAAAAAAAAACTTAATTTGGCTCTAAAAGAGAAAATGACAGAATTAACATGGACTGGATCTGTTTTTCATTCAGCTCTGTTCACTGGATTGAAGCCCTGTGCTATGTGACATCACTGGTCCCACAAACCAACCACAGACAATGACTGGCGTACAGTCACACACACTCACATGTACAATTACATATCCAACCAGGAAGGAAAAAAGAGCGAGTGAGCCTTAAAGGGACAGAGAAAGAGGAAATGGAGACCCGAGGGTCATGTTAGAATGTTGTTGGTCTGCCATCTGTAAATCGGCATAAACTCCTGGTCACGGTGACGCAGCGCCACCTCTGCAACATCAAACCAAGTCTCATTCATACTTGCCAATGTTTATCAGTCAGAACTTCCCCAGAAGAATAAAATAAAAGAAAAAAAACGATCCTGATTGGATAAAAAAGGCACATAACCAAAGTTCAGAGAACCAGGATGTAGTGAAGACGGCGTCAGGATCAGCGCTCACAATGAAATTTCGAAAAGCTGGAATAAGAAAAAGAAAGATGGTGGCGTGAAAACTCAAACTCGTCCCGTTACAGCTGTCCTTCCGAATGTGGCCATGCCCAGGTCTGCCTTTCCCTTCATGAGCTCCTCCAGCGTGGGCACGACGGTCACAGGAAGTGGCAGTATCTCCCCCACGCGTCGGGCCTCCTGCTGCTCAGCGTTCTTGGACTTGCGGCGTTTCAGAGACCTCTTCTCCATCTTGCTCTTGGCCGGCGGCGGCTCGCCGTTGCACAGGGTGGGGTCGTGTCCGTTCATGGAGGGGGCACTGCTGAAGGACTCCTCAGACAGTGTGGAAGCGGAGCTCTCGGAGCTGCCCTCTGACACACAGTCCCTGGATGAGCAGGTGGATGCGTAGCTGTTGCACGTTGACGGCAGGAATTGAAGAGAAGGTGATGATGTTTCACCGTTAACACTCGTCGCTGAGGGGACGGAGGCCTGGAGCGTCTCCACTCTGTCCCCTCCTTTTGTCTTGCAGCGTTTCTTCTGAAAGACACAAACAGGGAGAAATTATTTAATGTCTAAATGATGCATTCAGAGAGGTATTTAAACACCTAAAGCCACGCTAACCGTCTTTGTGCTGAGCGAGTATAAACAAATATATATAGCGGCGAACACTTTATCAGACACTTTATTGCAAGCTGTTCTAATCTCTTTTCCATCACAGGGCAACAAAAACTGGCCAACAAAGATTCACTCTTTTGGTTGCATGCCCAGAGGTTATTTGGCCAAGTGACAGCAAACAACGTTAACTAAGAAAAAAAAAAAAATGTTGTTACTTGAAATGAAATAAATGATTATGGAAATAAATGTAAAAAAATAAAAGTGGTAAATGTTGCTTTGGCAAGAAACTGAAATAATATAAGTGTAAGTATTAAAATAACTAAAAAATAAAACTAATAAATAAAAATGAAATACTATATAGACATTAAAAAAACAATAAAAATTATTTTTAAAATTAAGTTTAATTAAAATGAAAAATTAAGGTGAAAACAAAATATAAAAACTCAAACTATAATAATATATCGACGATATTAAAATAACACTGACAGAAGAATCTGAAACCAGCTTTTGCCTCTGTACTCTTGTATTTGGTGTTGCTTGATTAACACTATAGTGAATACAAAAATCTGAACGGCTGTTTAAAAACATTTCAATAATATCTGACTTTTTAGCAAAGTTGTGTACCGGGGTATTTCTGCTTTTCTATGAGCATCACTTAATGTCAGGGAGTGAATTTGCATTTTTATTCAGCAGTCTTCCGTTTTTTTGCATTGATATGAACAGACAAATTGCATGTGAAAATCATACCAAATTTTTTAGCTGAACATCAGTATTGGTCTGAACAGGCCTTTACTATTAGATCCGAGCATAAAGTTATGCAAACAAAGTTATTCTTTGGGGAACAAGCTAAACCTTGACTAAAACCCAAGTCAAGACTCTTACAAAGCAGTTCTTTTTAATAAATTGGTCAAAAAGACACAAATCAGTCTTAAACTCATGTGTTATGGGTTTAAATAGGTTTAATGACTTATTAAATGGGACAGTTATAGACTGACTAACTTTTCACCATTAACATACATTAAACTAGAAATGAACTGTGACTGTTTTGTACTTAAGGGAGATGGGAAATTTAATCAATGCAATTACTGACTGGATGTAAAAAAAAAAAAAAGAAGCTAAAATTGTAGTTTAAATTATGATAATATAATATTAATGTGATATTAAAAACAGTTTGTGTTTGGTATTTGTATAGAGTTGAGAACAATTGTTGTCATGTTGTTAAATGGAATCTGAATCCTCAGTCAGCAGAGAAACGGTTAACTTCACGGCCGGTCAGACAGACTAACTGGAAAGAGCTGCGTTCCAAAACACTCACTGCTCTTGGCATTTACTGAAGCATTTCTAATAAAGCTTTGATGTAATTAATACTGTTCTTGCAGATTGACAATCTAACTGTTAAACTGGAAAAAACAAAGACAAGAGCTGCTAAACAAGCAGTGAGTGGTTTTGAAACCCCGCCTCAGTCCCACTACTGTCATGAACACACAGCGGCCCAAACAAACTCCATACCTTTTTCTCTGGAGAAAACCTTAGAGGTTCTACAATGTACAAGTCATCAGGACCTACTAAAGAGGGGAGAGAGGGGGCAGGTTAACGGAATGGTATGGCAAACAATAACACAAGCATGAAAGCACTTGCAAGTAGTAGCACAAGTTACACACAGACACTTTAAAGTATTTTGTTTTCTGCTGTTCTTCATGGGTGCAACTGTTATTCAATTGTAATCCGCCTTGTGTTGTCCTATTTCACTCTCGTTTCATTGCCAACAAAGTCTGCATGTGGCAACCATGGCTGCAGCATCAATTGTTAGCATAATGCTGTCATTTGCATGCATTTGAAAGTCAAGTTTGATTTGCATATCTGTATATGCAATACTTAGTAATCCATTAAATGTACCACATTTTTCCATTGTTACTACTTGCAAATGTCCAACATGTGCCAGCCAAAAGCATCATGTGCTAAAAATATCCAACCTCTGCCTTATGAACACAAACCACTGATGAGCTCACACACACACACACACACACACACACACACACACACACACAATGCTGCAGCAAAATGTGGGAGGAAAAAATGGAACATGAAGCACATGAAGGATCTGGCGTTTAAAGTAGTGAAGACGGTTCAGTTTATGCGGCTGAATTTGCAAGTTTTTCATATTAGTTTTTCTGAATTGTTCTTACATATTAGAATTGTCAAATTAATTACTGCACACATCACTTACAAATAAAATTATTGAAAATGATAAGACTTTATTCTTTAAAAAATTTATTCTTTTCAATTAAAATGTCAAATTAATCAAATAATGTATACTGTGCGTGTAAGATTGAATGTATTTACTGTTACATTTACATACGTTTTTGCACATTAAATTCAAATATTATAATACTTATTACATATTAACTTTATTATAGTTTTAAATATGTCTAAATATGGTGACATTGTCAATATGAAAAGTCTTTCATTTACTTTGAGAATCAATACACTGATTTCCAAGTAGCTAACTTTGTTACTTTTTTTTATTATAACAATTTACACTCAATTAATGGTTTTAATTGAGTTTTTTGGCTTGTAAAAGAAAGAGTTTTTTGCTTAATACGTCCCATAAGATAAGACTCTGTTGACATTCAATTACAAATCCCACTGTGCTCCAGTATAGGTCACACTGATATTGAATTATGGCCAGACACTTTGGAACTAGTGACAGCTGGACCCAAAACTAGATCAAGCTGTAATGTGATCTGTGTGCTATTTAATCCAAAAGGCGTGATTCTTCTGAGAGCAGCAGCCAAAGTGAAAGCACACAATGTAAGCCACATGTTAAGTGGGAAGGTGTGACGTTAGTGGGCTGTAAGAAATGAATATGGTGGATTTGAGTCTGGCTGAAAAAGACACAGGATGTTAAGAACCGGAGCAGAGTAAAACAATGTGAATTATATGAGAGAAGGGGAGGAGTTAGAGAAAAAGAGAGAAAGACAGAGAGACATAGAGAGAGCTCTGGCATCATAACTCTCTTCAGTGTCAAAGGTGACTCTTACCTTCTGACGTGGGCAGTTGAAATGACTTTGAACGAATGAGAGGACAAGAAACTCTCCGTTTCAGACTCATATCATCATATGAGGAAAAACACCTGAGAATGAGAAAGATGGACATTAATCCTAAATATATTCTATGCAAGTGTCCAAATATAGATGCGAACTTCCCGATTCCTGATTGATGAATAGAAAGCTCAAAATACCAAATTATTTGAAATAAAAATCTTTTGTAACATAAATGATAAATTTTTGAATGGTAGTGTATGCTGTTACATTATTGTCACAAAGGGTTAACTTCAAACATCTGTGCTATTAAATCGGATATTAAATCAGTTTACATAACTTCAACTAGCTTGCTCAGCAAGATTGCTCTGCTCATCAAAAGACTCATAAATCAGTCTTAAGCCCATGTATTTTCAGTTTGAGTCGACTCTGTCAAGCTGTTGTTCTGCCATAGTAGTTGACGTGACAGAAAACTGACTGCAGGGCCTCTAGAGAACTCCTTGCTGCAATCCTGAGAATGCATTGTGTTCTTGTATTGCGTTATGAATTCTGCACATTTGGTGTGTGTTATACCTCTTAGGGCTGGGGTAGTTGTTGCTCATGGGAATGGTTGAGCTGGTGTTGTGACTGGGCAAGCTCCTGCAGCACTGCATACAGAGCAGCAGACCCAGCGTCAGACACAGGATCAGAGACAGCACCAGGTAACTCTGTCTGTCAGACACCTACAACACAGTAAACAATATAAATATACATTACTGGGTGGGCCAAACATTAGATGGGTCAGGAATGAGATGAGAAATACATGTTTGTAGACCTCTCGCTGTAGCTGAGCAACTGTGGCAGACAGGTTCAGCATGATCCTGGTGGCATTCTCCAGCTGGCTCTGTAACAGCTGTATAGACTCTGTCTGTTTCTGGTCCTAAATACACACGCACACAGTTGCAAACAGTTATCCACGTTATCCGTGTAAAAACAAACAAACACAGTACATGCTACAGTTGCCCCCAAAGTTGTCAGTTTTCTTAGCCAGAAGGTGTCCAAGAACATTTTATTTTGATTTTAAACAGTATGTCTTCAAATTTTTTTTTTTTGTCATTTACATTTAGTCATTTAGCAGATGCTTTTATTCAAAGCGACTTACAAATGAGGACAACAGAAGCAATCAAAACCAACAAAAGAGCAGTAATATGTAAGTGCTGACAACAAGTCTCAGTTAGTCTAATGCCGTACACGTAGCATGGGTTTTTTAAAATAATAAATATAAAGAAAAGAAGTAGATAGAATCGAAAAACAATAGAGAATGCTAGTGTTAGAGGGTCCTTTTTAAACAAATATAAAGAAAACAAGTTGAAAATAGAAAAAGAATAGAGAACGCTAGTATTAGAGGGTAATTTTTTATAAATAAAAAGAACAGTTGAAAGAATAGAGAATGAGAAAAAAACAAGTAGTAGAAACAACAGAATGCAAGTGTTAGAGGAATATTTGAAGGATAAACAATAGATAAAAAAAAATTATCCAATAAATAAGTTAATAATCATATTTTGTCTTCGTTTTGATTATAAACCATGTATCTTCATAAAATTACTTGATGACAGTTTTATTTTCAATGTTGACACTACTGTTTAAATGTTTGGGATGTGTAAGATTTGGGATGTGTAAATTATACCACTAATAATTATAATAATAAACGTTCCTTTAGCAAATTAGCATAATTAGAATGATTTCTCAAGGATCATGTGACAGTGACGACTGGCACAATGAATGCTGAAAATTCAGCTTTAATATTACAGGAATACATTTTACTCAAAAATACAGTTAAAAACAGGAGAGAAAAAATATGTGTGTGTTATTGCATTTTTGAGCCTTGGTGAGCATAAGAGACCTCTTTCAAAAACAAACAAACAAACAAACAAAAAAAACTTACTGACCCCAACATATTGAATGGTAGTGTATTTTCCTATTGGAATATGATATTTTATTTAATACAGTGCCATTCACACTTTCTCAAATGTATCCAAGTGTCCAAACACATTATCCATGCATGTTGCAGTTGCCAGTATCAAAGTTTATAAAAAAGCCCAGCTCAAATTACTAATGTTCTGTGTGACTGATAATAACCTGCTCTTCTGCGATTCTGGAGGTGTTCTGCAGTTTGATGATGGTCTTGTTGAAAGCCCGTTGCATCTCCTCCATCTGTTTACGATACCTGAGAGACAGCAGAACGGCTCAATCAAACAATGTGGCCCACTATGATCATTTTAGGTTTGCTAGCATGTATCTGTGTTTTGACCTCTGGCTGAGCTCCTCCAGGTATCTGCTGCTGAGCGACATGTTCATTTCTAGTGCTTTAATCCTGTTATTCAATCTCATGAACACCGATTCCTTCTGGTTGGATCCGTGCACCTGATTCCCGTTGCCGTTTCCATTCCCGTGGCCCATTTCTGCCGAATGCTGCTGCTCTGCGTAAAACTCTCCGACGGTGCGGTGCGGTAGCAGAATGTCATCAACAGTCTCCTCTTGTTGAGACAGAGGGGCTTCAGAAAGCTCTGGCTGGGAGGACACAGCACTGTGGTGAGGATCTTCAACCCCTGCAGTCCTGCCGATATCCGAGGCCTCTGGAAGCGGGATGGGAAGTTCAGTAGGAGGTGGGATATCAGCGGGGCGAGTGTGGGTGGGCAACGGCTGAACCGTCTGCTCTTTGGTGGCGACGGGGAGCTCCAGTTTGGGAGGGTCCGTCTCTGGGCTGTGGGGTTCAGTGGTGGTGGTGGAAGAGAGCGGAGAGGAGGCGGCACTGGGAGAGAGGAGGCTGCTGGTGCTGCTGACAGGCGTACGGGTTTCTGGGATGTCATCCAGGTACTGCGGACGCTGATCCACAGGCTCTCCCGTGGGTGGGAACTCTGGGATGTTTTGGGTGGGGGTGTCGGAGAAGCTGTGTGGGGGAAGGGTGGAGGTACGACTAGGCTCTAACAGAATGGTCTCAGGTGGGAGCTCCTGATCTGTGACGGCAGATTCCCCACTGGAGGACTGAGGCGGAGAAGCCACCGTTTCAGTAGGGGAAATCCTCTCAGCTTGTGCCTGAGAGGGCTGCTCTGTTTCTGGAAGTTTCTCGGAGGGCACAGGGGGCTCTTGGGTTGGGGTGGTGTCAGGGAGGGACTGCTGAGGGGTGGTTTGAGTGTCTGTGTCGGTGTGTGTGTGCTGTGCTTTGTGGCGCTGGTCTCTACACTGGCGCTGTAGTGCTAATGCTGCTGAACAGTAGCAGCAGAAGTGTTCGTGCAAAGATGCCAAACAGGACAAAGTGGAGAGGTGGCCGCAGTATGTGGCGCTCTCCCGCTCCCACATCTCCTCTGTACTTTTCTCCTCCTCTTGCTCCTCCTCCAGCAGGGTCACCGTTGGCTGAGTGGCCTCTTCGTCCTCCTCGATGAGGATGACGATACGGCTCTTCTCAGGTGGAGGTTCTGAAGGAGCCTCAGGAACAGGAACCTCTAAGTCATCCTTCACTAGAGTGGGATCCAGCTCAAGAACATCCAGCCTGGAGATATGATGACCAAGAATGTTAGTTCTCAAATCTCTCATTTCATTTTAAACCAAGGTTGCACAATGTTTGTTACTTAGTTATGAGCACGACCACACAGAATGTGAGCTCCTCAGTTTACTGCAGAACTGAAATGCCTGTCACAACTCAACTCCTTGCATGTTCATTTTTTAAAGATACAGTTCATCCAAAGAAGAAAAATTCTGTAATTTGCAAAGTTATTTAGTTCCAATTCCATATGACTTAAAAGAACAATAAAATAAGAAATTCTATGACCATGACAATGAATATCAATGAATGTGGGCATTTTAAAAAGACATTTTAAACCAAAACTACTGAAAATTGTTTTCATTAAAGCTGGAATAAAATATGGATAACTAGATAAAACCTGATAAAAAAATATACAGTGGAGGCCAAAATTACTACAACACTAGTATTTTCACCAGCTAAAAAATGTTTTTAAATCAGTTTTGCTGTAGTGTGTCAGTAGGAAATATCAGTTTACATTTCCAAAAAGCATCTTGGAGACGTTGCCACAGTTCTTCTGGATTTAGTCTGTCTCAGTTTGTTCTGTTTCTTCATGTCATTCCAGACAGACTGGATGATGATGAGATCAGATCTCTGTGTGGAGCACTGGCTGTTGTCAGACAAAAATCTCACTGGATTATTACAATTAATGGCAAAATTAATGTTTGGAAATGTAAACTGATATTTCCTACTGACACTACAGCAAAAGTTAAAAATAACTGACTTAAAACCATTTTTCAGCTGGTGAAAATACTAATGTTCTAATAATTTTGGCCACCACTGTATTACAAATGTTGCCTTGACAACTGAAATAAGTTCAAGTTGAAGTACTAAAATTGCAAAAACTAAAACTAATGTAAAAATAAATTAAAGCTATAAAGAAATATTTCAAAAGAAATAAAAATGATAAAGCAAATAAAATGATTGAAACATAACTAAAAATAAAACAAAAAAATAAGGCTAATTAAAAATAATAAATATTTTAGAAGTGCATAAAATATTAACTGATAATAGAATGACTATAAATAATAATAAAGTACTCTTAATATAATAATGATATTCATTTAAGTTAGCTGCTGTGACCAGATCTTGAGAACCAGATCAGTCAGATTTGTGAATGAATTGTTTAAACCAATTTTATAAAGCAGACCAACCAATTCACTAAAAAGATTTTACTAAAAAGAATCATCTGTTCACAAATCAAAGCTATTTCTCTCATAAATAATGCCAAGTAGGGCAAGATTTAGCAATGAATATTAATTAAAATTTTCAATAAAAAATGTGTTTGTAAAAAAAAAAAAAAAAAGTTGAATGTGTTGAAAGGGTGTAAGGTACATTAAATGAGAGAACTAAATACTCCTCTATGAACTAAATATTTTTGGCTAATTTGATCAAGATTTTAGCTACAAACAAGAGTATTTTTACCATGTTTAAATGCACTCTGCATAATTCAGCAGATTGAGTCTGACTCTGAGCCTGGTTATGCGGCAGCTATAGTTAAAGTTTTATAAGCTCGTACTGTATTAGAAAAAGGATTCGGTGGTTGATTTGGTATGTGAGCAAACAGTCTGTGCTGGAATACGCTGACTAGCTCGGGGCTCAGTATTGAGCAAGCATTTGGGGTTTTAATATGCTGGATGAGTAGGGTGTGTGTGTGTGTGTGTGTGTGTGTGTGTGTACAAATGAGACTCACGTAGAGGGCTGTTCAGTAGGTTCTGGCGTGAGTGTGGTTTCTGTTGACGTCTGGGTGACGTTTTCTGTCCCAGAGGAAACGTTTCCTGAGCAAGATGAGAAAAAGAACAAATTCTGACAGTGAGAAAAGGAAAAGGAGAATATGAACATTTGTTTTCCATACTGCCCTTCCACAACACAAAGAGGGCTACTGTTCAGAGAAAAGCACCCAAGATTAAACACACAAACACAAATGTGCCCTTAACTAGCAACAGGTGATGATCTCGAGAGCCTGGAATGGTTTAAATTTATCCAGACCAACAAAGACATCGAAAAAAACCAAGCTTTGGAATATCAGTCATTGTGCCACAATGGCATTTTCTGAATTCTTGTCACATACTGAGTCAGTCTTTGTGACAGTGAAGATTACATTATCTAGAAAAATGTGCATCAAAAATGGGAAGTTACTCTCTAATATGTGTTTGTAAAACTATAAGCCATCAGTGGAGTAGAACTCATCTAAAAGATTATGGATTATATTATTAGTCTGTTTCATGAATGTTAAATAGGGGACATAATTTTCACCCAACTAGTTTTCTGAAAGGCAGGTGTCATATTATGATTACCAGCTGTGCATTTCTTCAATTGAACAACCGAACAACCTTTTAAAAGCTATTAAAATATAATGATTACTGGCTAATAAAGTGACTTCTAAATTTCCAAAATGTACAGGAGGATGTCAGTCTGAAAAGACTCTAACTGCCAGTGTGTTCACTCACAGTTGGAAGAATCGTTCATTCATTTTATTGGTATAAATTTGATCAGGTGATTCAATTTTGTGTTATTTTATATCAATAAACTGTAGTATGTATATTGGTATTATATCAGCTATCAATCACCATTTTTATCTAGATATTGGTATTGGCCATTAAAAACAACTCATATCAGTCAACCACAATCTAACAGTTTAAAAAAAAAACTGCCCATAGCGTGCTTTCCTTTTCCAAACTTAATATGAACTTTCAGCCATCCACTCGACTGCAATCTCTCAAGGGCCACAGTAAAAAATATCTTGTTAAACAGTCTTTTTTCTTTTAGCCTCCTAGTCAGACTGTTTATGGTCATGATAGAGAAGCAGGGTGTTTTTAAACTTTACTTCTGCTTTTAGGAAAGCCACATGCGTGTTTGAACAGCATTTTGTTGCAGCTCTCTCTGGGCCTGCGCACACACACACACACACACACACACACACACACACACACACACACCCTGGGAGAGTTTGATGCTGGCAAGCGCAGCTACAGAACCCATCAAAGACGTGCTTTCACTGCCAGGCCTCACAGTTCCAGCACTGTTGGCATGGTGACAGCCCTCACTAGTCACAAACAGCTGCCAAGCAAAGAGGAGCAAATAAGTGGAGTAATTTCTTAGTACAGACTCAGGACAGGGTGGTTTTAATATCCAAGCTCAAGGCAGAGATCAGGTCCGTACCTTCCATTTCAGCTCCGTCCTCTAGTTCTGGTTTCCCTCCTAGCACATTTGCTGCGATGTTGTTTACCATGTTCAGGATGGCGTCTAAAAGAATCCAGAGGAAAATACTAAAAATGTAACATTTATATGCATGGAACAGGTGTAAATGTCTCACAGTGCCAACACACAGGCTGAATTGTTTTCTACAATTCACCAAACCAAATTCAATGCTCTTAAAATATAATGATCACTGGCCAAAAATTATGAACTTCTGAATTATTGAAGTCAATCTGCCAGTATGCTTGTTGCGTGGTAGAACTAGTAGAGCAATTTAATCTTTGGTAAATGTAATTTGGTTAGTTCTTCCAATTTTGTCTTATTATCATCATTAAATTCTGTTATGTATACTGGCATTAATTGGCATTCTACTGGCAACAGAAGTACATGTTGTATACAAGGACTGTTCATTATTAACCTAATAAATTCTCCATAGTTAATTTGTTGCAAATCTGCAATAATAATAAAAAAATAAAAAAAACTTACCTATACTGTACATTTTTATGTAATATTCCATGTATTGAGCTTTGGTGATAATTAACTGCGTTAAACATTTAACTGCATGTGTTACAATGTTATTTTAGTATTATTTATATATTACTATAGTATTTTGAATAGCTTTTACTTTATACTTACAGTTTTCATTTTATTTAGGTTTTTGTAATTTTGTAATGTGCTTTTGTCATTTTTATTATTATTTATTATTTGTCGTTTTTAATATTTCTATTTAGCTACAGTTTATTTTTATTTTAGTTTTTGTAATTTTAAATAAAATAAAAGTACTTCAACTTAAAATATGAAAATGAGAAATATTGCATTGTCAACTAACTGAAATAAAATGTTACCTAAAATGTATATTTTATTATGGCTTTATTTCATTTAAAGAAAACAATTTGTAATTGTTTTAGTTAACAACAACAAGTTTTGACTTCACAACCTTTATAACGGATATTCAAAACACGTTTTAAAAGAAAACTTGGAACTGAGGCAGAGGGCACACCACTTCCTTGAATTCTACAGTTAGTACATTTTTTGCCACTGTAGCTTTGAGCAAACTGGAATATAATCAACAGGGATTGCCGTGAGCAAAGTGAATCTGTGCAATGCGCAACTAACGGGTTTCATCCCAATTATAAAGTGGCAATGCTGTTATCCACTTCTGTTCATAGTTTAGCTAGTTTAACCAGTAGATTGAAATGATTACTTGTGGGCATCTACACATAAATATTCATGAAATCAAAAGCACGAGCAGAATATGGAGGAACAGCACATACTTGTAGCAGAGCCCAGCAGATTCTTCGATGTCTTGTCCTCTGACGGCAGGTAGCCGGGTGGGTAATCTGTAAAAAAGACGTCTGGAATTAAGACAACAGCATTAGCCAAATGGACACACACACAACAACTGCCAAACAGAAAACAAACAAATGCAGTCTTGTGTCTAAATGATTAAATCCTGCCATATAGTATTGCACATATCTATCTGTTAATACTGTACTTTTTAAGCTTTCTGTGAGCAATCATTTAGAGAGATGATCTCACCATAGTCTTCATCAAGATACTCGGCTCTCTCTGACGTGTACTGAGAGTCAGCTATCTCATCATACTCCTCCACCATACTGGTGCCAAACACCCTGATATACACAAAGATACACATGAGCAACACAAAAAATTAGATACTTGCAAGTATAAGAGTTAGGAAAAGGATTAAAAACAGCATGGGAGGAAGTGTTGATAAAAATGACAGTATGTTCCTGTATTTATCGTAAAGAACAAACAGCCCCTGTAAAGATAAGAGACGGTCAGGCTTCAGAATAAGAAATATTAACATAAAGCCCACTTTGATCATCAGCATAACTTATCTCTGCCTTCTACAAAACAACTATAATCACTCTGCCCTTTGCCCAGGTTAGTGGGGGTCTTTAAAAACATGTTTTATAGCCCCCGTTCAATCCTCAAGGGCCACGTACGGAGGAGGTAACAGCAGTGGAAGAAAAATAACAACAGATATCCTGTAAAATTAGCAGTTTTAGAGATCAGAGGGAAGTAGGATTTTGGAATAAATGTTACTCTGCAGATTTGTACGCATTCACAAGGGTTGCCACATGATGCCTTATAATACAATTTGTTTCATGTGGCTTGTAAAATAGCACAATGACCAGAAAGTAGCTTCTTGCGATTCTCAATTTGGATCTGTTAAGGTCAGAACTAAAAAGCTAACAAAATGTTTAGTACAAGTGTGGAAAGGATTTTTATTTTTCATCTCTATATCTGGCTGTAGTGTTTTGCTTGCCTCTCACAGTATATACAGTAATTCCCTTACAGTGGGACAATATGTCTCTCATAGAGTGCAGCCAGACCAGCCCCTTTATGGGCCTCCAACCAAGATTAAATCTCCTGCCAATGCAAACGGGCCTGAGAGGAGCTTGAGGCAGGATAGAGATCAACTCAATTCAAGAACTTTGCCTTTTGAAACTTTTATAAAGCCAGGTGTCCTTTCTCACAGTCAATGAAATTTAAAGGGCAATGCAAGTACAGGATTGTAAAATCCGAAGCGACCTGTTTCTCATTACCGCATAATGCTGCTTGTGCAGTATGCATTGGCTAAAGAGATGCTTTTACTCTTATCAGTCACCTTCTGAAAGGTCATGAAAACATTTTTTGCATCTTTCTAACCATTTAATCATAACCATTTAAAAAAATATATTTTTCTCTCAAAATGAAGGAAAAAATACTTCATATGACGCATACCAAAACATTCCCCTCACAGTATGCATTAGACTAGAAACATACTTCACGCAAGTATGCAAACGCCTGTTGTACATATACTACCATTCAAATGTTTGGAGTCATTACAACTTTTTGTTGAAAGAAAGAAATACTTTTATTCAGCAAAGGCACATTAAATTGATGAAAAGTGATAGTAAAGACATTTATGATGTTACAAATTTAAACTAAATAAATACTGTTCTTTAAACTTTCAATGCATCAAAAAATAAAAATGTATCATGGTTTACACAAAACTATTAAGCAGCAAACCATTTTCAACACTGATAACATTAAAATGTTTCTTAAGCAGCAAATCAGCATATTAGAATGATTTCTGAAGGATCATGTGTCACTGAAGACTGGAATAATGACTGCTGATAAAATTCAGCTTTACTATTTCAATAATAAATGACATTTTCAAATATATTAAAATAGAAAACAGTTATTTTAAATTCCAAAAAACATTTCACAATATTGCTGTTTTTACTGTATTTTTTTATCAAATCCATGCAGAGAGTATAAGAGCTAACTGTGACTGTAAGAGACTTCAAAATCATTCAAAAACTCAAATTTATTATTCCCACACTTTTGGAACGGTAGTGTACTTGTACATACTGTAAAAACTCAACTGAGTATTAATGTATCCTTTAAATATCTGTGCTATTATACACAGTGTTCATCAGCTAGTGAGCAATATAAATGTTGACAACAGAAGAAGACCTTTTTGTTCTAATACACATTATAGAGCTCTTTGTGGTCATACTGAGTATGCAACTAGGGCTGCACGATTCCATCTGAAAGCACGTGATGATGATTTCCTGCTGATTACAGAACAGGCTTTTTTAACAAAATGACAATCGCATTCGATTAATCGTGCAGCCCTATATGCAACACATACCTGCACTGCACTTTGAATGCAATAACATCAAGGTTATGTGCATATGGGCATTCACATACTTGTGCAAAATAGGTTTCAGTCATGTTATACACAGTATTGGAATTGTCCATATTCTATTCAAGTAACATTAATTAAACACACCTGATCAGGCTGAGTGGACAGAAGTGTTCAGAGCCAAAGTGGGAGAGTAGCTCAACCTACAAAAAAAAAATGAAAAATGAAAATATGGTCACACTCAAACATGGTCATACAACAAAACCAATGCTTATTTTACCTTCTTACAAAGTTTAGTTTAGCGATGTCCCAATAATGTCAAACAAAAAACAAGAATGAAGTGCTGAAGTATTTGCAAAGCATGATGTTTCCCGTGCGAGTGTAAGAAAATATGTATATCACGGTCACTGTTTTACAGTATGTGAGCCTGCCACCCAAAGCAGCACTGACAAGATCTAAGAGAGAAGAGCGCTAACCTTTATGTATTTGATGAACATCTGATGCAGGAAGAGAAGACAGGAGAAAGCGGAAACAAAGAAAAACAGAGAGGAAGATCAGTATAAAAGACTCGATTCATGCTGTAGCAAGTCAAGCATTTCGAACTGTTCTTGTTTGCTCTGCTTTCATGACTTGAGCAGCAGTACAAAAGCAGGAGAAAGCCAGCTGAGGCAAAGGCTGTAATTAGGAGCACAAAGTGGGAAATACAGCAGGGGAAAACAAGCAAACAAAAACACTGAAATAATAAACATCACAAAAGTCAAGCAGAGCATGACAGAACAGGTTTAGGGCAGCTCAGTAATGGCTCAGTAAGTATTGTGGGACTCCTCAATTAGATCAATGGCACCTCCTGACATATGTTACACAGGTAATTATATAATCATCTGAGAACTCAGAAAAAAAGAGAAAAATTCAGATCAAATGTAACTGCACAGTGTACTTGACTGTTTCACCCAAAATGCTAATTTATTTTGCCGTTTGTTAAAAAATGTCTTAGCAAATGTTAAAGTGATTGTGAATTCTACTCAATGTGTTTCTGCCCAAGCACTTATCTCTTAATACACTGACATATATAGATACACCAACCTTATATGCAAATCAATAAAAGGTTATAAGTGTGTGTGTATTCAGCATCGTACATTACACACATATACAGTCATGAGACTCTCAGGCCTGAGGGAAGGGCACGGCTTTCCTCATATGTCTTAACTGTCCCCCTTTCTCAGCCTCTTATTCAGTCACCTTAAAAACACACTTTGTTAATGTAATTCCATGTTATTTAGATCATAGGTGACAGAACAATCATGTGTGTGTGATCCCTTTTAAGATGCTCATGTTTCAGACATTACAGTTTATAGATACACGCACTAATGTCAGAGCACATATCATTAACATCATGTTCTTGTGTTTAATACTTTGGTACAATTAATACTTAATACTGTGGCGCGTTCTGCCCCCAACATTCTTTTTCCAGTATATTAAATAAACAATAATTTTTTTTTTCTTTCAATTTTCAGCTTAAATGTGCTAATTAAGGAAAAACAGAATTCACTAAAATGATATATTTCGTTCTTCCAAACTAAAAGCAGGGACGCTACTATCTACTATCACAAAACTTGCTTTTCTTAGTGGGACACTATGACAAAACATCACACTGTACTGTGCGCAGCTTTGCAACGAAGTTGAACAATAATGAAACACGCCCTTCTAGAATTTCCACTCTCAAGGAAATTTCACTATCAAGTAGCTTTGGGAAGAACAATTCATTTTAGCTAACTGAAGTGACTGGCACCCCTTTTACCTTGACATATTTGGCATAGAGTTGCTCATCCAGAGGGAAGCTCTGTACTGTGCGTTCATCACGGGCGTGAAAGGTGCCCAGCTTGATCCACTTATTGGTCGGATACCTGATTTTGAGAAACAATTTTTAAAGAAAAGGTTAAGTTGGTGTTTACATAACGCAGTCTCCCAACCAGTCACAAAGTGATAAGATTTTAGCAACATGCAATTTGTCTGTTCACACCAAATGTGGAATGACACAATAAAACCAACCACAGCATATTCAGTGTTTAATGTGAGACAGGATTTGGGACAAATTAGATTTCACTGCAATCTGTGAAATGTGCTGTGGTTGGCCAGGACAAAAACTCATATCGCATTGTGCCTAGTTAGGAGTGGGAACACCATGTACGTCTATGTGAGTGATGTTACCTGTCACTTATAGACACAAGGAAATCTTTTGGTGTAGAGGAGAACAACTCAAAGTTTGCAATATCCAGCTGCTTCACCTGGATTGGCTCACAGAGCTCAATAACAAACCTGTATTTGAAGATACGATAGAGATAGAGGAAAGATAGAGGAACCAAAGGGGAAATTAATTTAACATTAAGTAACATGTGCTGACACAAAAACTACTAACACTGAAACAAAAGGCACAGGGGGAAAACAACATGCAATTTAATTAATTTACATGAATGCAATGCACATTTTTAGATTTTATGTGTTTTTATTTATATTTTAGATGCCATGACTCGTCACTATTTCTTTTTTAAGGTTTTGAAACCACTTCTTTTGCCTACACTAGTTCATTTTAGATGGTCTTCCAGTGCAATAATATTAATATTACATGTAATTAGTGGTGCACAATTATAGTTATAATCAAGATTATTTTCTCAAAAATCACAATTATCACAATCTGATTTCTTTTTAGAAATCAGAATGATTGCCCTTTCACATAAGCACAAATCAAAACAATCTCAACTCATACACAGGGTTTATTTTACTTAATCTAGTTTCCCCGTTTTTTTACATTTATCATATATATCAACACACTCTATATTATGAAAACTGTTAAAACTTTAAGAATCTTCTCTAAAAGAGCCTAATGAAAGCTCATGGAGGCTTGTTACTGATGCAAGATAACAAATGTCAAATGGGGGAGACAAAAAAAATCAGGATAAATAACCAGTGGGCCAATATCACAGACAATTATGCTTAATTGAGAGAAGCATAAATCATGATCATGGTTAAAATACAATTAATCATGCAGCCCCAACTGTAATTCCGCCAGTTATTAAGAGGCTAAATAATTATAAAATAATTAAAATGCTGAGTTTAGCACCACATTTACTAATAGTACTTGTCAACTTTTTTAATGTCAACTATCATTTACACAAATAGGAGAATAGAGAGTGCAAAATGCATTTCTTCATTGTCTCTGAGCAGCTGCTGCAGTCTGTTTTTTCTCTTTATCTGCAGTGACTCACCAGATCTTGGTACTGCAGGGGTTCAGCATGTACAGATCCATGTTCTCCATCAGGATGGCAGATGTGCTCTGAAAACAAAACACACAGACAAGCACACATATGTTAGACAATTGCTGATCTCAAACTAATCAATAACATTTCAGATGCAAGAACAATAACAGTAATTAAATGATTGTCCTATTTATGCCCCTGGTGAAAATCCTTCCATCTTTCTATCTGCCCCATATGCTGTTTTGCAGTTTCTTGCGCATTACCTTGGCCTCATTGTTGGCCGAGAGGATTTTGGCCCCACATTCGACAGAAGCGTAGTTATTCTTGAAATTCTTTTGGACCTTTTTGACTGGATGAGGGCTGCCATTTGATGAAGTGTGCAGAGACTGACCTGAAACCAACATAACAGGTTACATATAGATCACCAGTCAAATTTTTTACACCTTGAATCAGGTTGGCCTAGTATGCGAGTATGAGTGTGCCATGCAAAGTGCAGGTTGGTATGTTTACCTGTCAATTCCAACACTGAAAACAAAAGAACGACTTATCTGTATGTATGCATATAGCCCGCATGTATTCACTATCTGTAACAGATAACCCCCGTGAATGGCAAAATTGTTGGATTTTAACTATCAACAGCTGCTGTCATGACCTTACGTGACAACATTTAGGGAAAATAAGCTATTCATTAACATTGTGCTAATGACAGCTTGCAAAAAAACCCTTAAAAAAACGACCTCAACACGTCTTTGTAGCCGTGGCAGACAATAATTTAGTTTTCTATATTTGATTTAACAAATTTGTTTTTCGAGAACATTCTAGGTCAAGCAGCCCGGGCTATGAATAGCAACCAATCCTGACCCAAAACAGGATTGAACAAAGGTCTCCTGTAGCGAATCGATGCGTTTTTGTAAGAAAAATATCCATATTCAAAACGTAATAATAACTTTAAAGTAGCTTGCGCCAACAGTCCTACACTGAAGCAGCTCCGGGAGCATGACGTATGAGTTCAGCGTTGCGCCTGTGAGTCTCGTGAAAACCAATGTTTGTTAACAGGAGCAAAGGAAGCAAAGTTTCCTTACTTGAGCAAAGATAAACCAGTCTCCTCTTGGCTTATATTGAAATCCTCCGACATTCTTCTTTACAAATCCTCGTTTTGTACTTCTAATAAGTGACCGTTGTTTTGTTTTGATCTCTCCCCTGCGCTTCCACGTTTGTCACTTCTGAGCTGCGCATGCGCAAAGCTGATCTCATACGTCATCCGCCCGGAGCTGCTTCCGTGTAGGACTGTTGGCGCAAGTTACATTAAAGTAATTATTACGTTTTGAATATGGATATTTTTCTTACAAAAACGCATCGATTCGCTACAGGAGGCCTTTGCTCACCCCCCGGAGCTGTGTGAGACACTTTTTTTATGGATGGACGCTTTTTATTTAATTTCTTTTGGACTGATGCATGCAACCCCCGCTGAGTGGCATTAAACAGCTTGAAAGATCAAAGACAATTTTTAATAACTTCGTCTGAAAGAAGTAAGTCATATACACCTAGGATGACTTATTGGGTGAGTAATTTGTGGGCTAATTTTAATTTTTGGGTGAACTAACCCTTTAAGGAAACTGATCAAATTTCAGTTGTGTGATCCTGTGATTCATAATCCTCACTTGAACCCAAATTCTATGTACTTGAAGAGTTGCTCTTTAAGAGCTCTCTAGTTTTATTGTGTGTACTGCACCCGCTAATTAATGATGACAAGGGTCAATTAACATACTGTTAGCCAGTGGCTGTTAATTAGTTGACTTTGTGATTTGAATGTGCACACAAACACACCCAGAGATGTGAAAAACCCTGATGCACTAAAGCAAGAGTTTAATTGTTTAGCTGGCCTGGAGCATGAGCTTAGAATCTAGTTACTTTTGATGCAGTGTACTGAAGCAATCCATTACAGCAGCTTACGCGTGTGCATACTGGGTTATGCAACAGTCACTGTGCTCGCCACTGAACCGACAAATGTGAGCAAAAAAAAAATACAACTATTATTATAAGCAAGAAAAAGCAAGGGAGGGAAACAGAAATTCTTGATAGAAAGAGATAAAAAGAAAGGGACAGCTCTGTGAAATCAAGCAGAAGTGTGTCCTAAAGGAAGTGCGTGTGAGTGTGTACTGATGCAGAAGAAGCACGGGGGCAGCCTGGCATGTGATGATTCACTGATGAACACGCAGCTCTGTGAGTGACACATGACCCAAAGCCATCTCTTACTTTTCTTCTCCTCTACTTCCATCACTTTCTTCTTCCACTCATCAAAAGTGGGGATGTCCTCTTTACTGGGTACAGGAGGGTCTGTTGCTCCCTCATGGTCCACCACCTGAAAAAAATTATATATTTATCAAATTTTTATTACAGTGAACAAACCACAACCCAAACTTCCTTGGCCCTAAAACTGTGAAATGCCATTTTGGAAATTCTGTGTTTTCTATTTCAGCAGCATTATGCTGGGTAGCTACAGCAAAAGTGAAATTGGTAATGGTAATGGTACATAACTGTAAATGAAACATTATATATTATATTATATTATATTTAGTGATGTCAAACGATTAATCACATCCAAAATACGTTTTTATTTACATGATATATGTGTGTGTACTGTGTATATTTATTATGTATATTTAAATACAAACACATGCATGTATGTATTTGCGCGTTTCCATTGAGCGGTACGGTACAGTACAGTTCAGTACAGTACGATTCGGTACGGGTAACCCTGATCCAGCTTGCGTTTCCACTGCCAATAGTACCCTTCTTGATAGGCGTGGTGAATGCATAGACTGTGGTGTATGCCGGAAAGTAGCGATTGACGATAAAGCGCGACAATAAGCACAACTCTGCCTCTTTTTGTTAAATGTCAGTTTTAATGAACAATAATAGCCATTATAAAAGTATAAGTACAAAGTATAAGAGGCTTATATAAGAGGAAATAAAGAGAAAAGCAAACAATTCAGTCAAACGTATGCTACAAAGTCAGCGCTGTACTACGGTAAAGTTCAAATTAAATATATAAAGTTAAACATAACTTTGTGCTCAGCCAAAACGATATGACCAGGAATAAATAATAGATTCATGAGACCACGAATGCCTGTTAAATATAGCCTACCCAAAATGAATTGTATCTCATGTTAAATGAGATACAATTTATGTATCAATGTATCTCATGGCAAAGGAAGGACTAGCCGAGCTAAGGCTGCTCTATGCGGATACATGAGCACTGAGTGCCCGGTGATCGCCTGGAGCTCCGAAATTGGCATAGCAAATTTTCAAATAGGTGCTATCTTTATAAATAAACCACAGATTTGAGTTTTAAACAATTACATTCTCACCTGGAAAAACTCTTAAAACTACATTGCATGACACAATAACAGTAATATTTAGAAAATTACGCGGGTTTTTGGGCAATGACATTTCACAAGTCCAAAAGAACAGACAAGAACGCATATTGAGAAACAGCTATTGTCTGTGTGAAAACATAAAATTATAAAATACACGGTTATATTTTTTTGCGTTTGCACACTCTGATGTAAATAAGCCCAACACTCATGGACAGCAGAGCGGAACGAGGGAAGGACGCTTTATCCCCTTGTATCACGCAAAAATGACGATTCTAGTCAACCAATCAATGTTCTGCAGTGAGTTTAGCCATACCCTTTTGGTACCCTTTGCTGTGCTGGGTACCCCAACGGAAGGGTACCAAAAAAGTGGTACGGTACAGTTCACTATTTTGGTACCATTCACAACTTCTGACAGTCGAAACGGAAATAATTGAGTACCGTACCACTCAGTGGAAACGAGCCATAAGAAAAATATGTTATGTTTATATATTAAATATATTTATATATAATATAAAATATAAGAATATAAATATATATACATTTAAATATACAGTATGTGTGTATTTATATATACACATAATAAATATACACAGTACACATACATATAGCATGTAAACAAAAACTTTTATTTTGTATTATTTGATTATTTTGATTAATCGTTTGACAGCACTAATTATATTATATTATTCTAATAATATAATACAATTATGAACTTAACCTAACATATTAGAATGATCCCGTATCAAAGGAATACATTTCATTATAAATATAATAAAAAAATTAAAAAGTTGTTTTAATTTTAGGGCTGTGACGGTGGCAGATTTTTACCACCGCGGTGGTAATGGACCAACTACCGTTGGTGGCGCGGTGTTGTTAGGCCTATATACAGTATATAATTTATATATATATATATATATAAATGACATATATGACATTATACATTTTACACAAAAGGGTGGTCTTTCCTTCTATCTCCTCATCACTTTCCCTTTTTCTTGTCTCCCTTATCTCTATCCCTCTCTGTGAGTGTGTCAATGCCTAAATAGCAGCGCTGAGTGAGCATTTGGTTGATTAAACATTTACAAGGCTGTCCTGTGGAAAACAAACATGCTGATGTACTCTCTCTTCTTCCTCTCCTCCACTCTTATGCTTTCTCTTCCACTTTCATCTTCTCCATTTAGGGTGTATGTGTCAGAGCAGCTTTACGAGAGAGGAGGGGATGTTTTAGCTCTGCAGATCTCTAACAGCAGGGTGTGGAGAGGCTCAGTGGTAATCGAATACAAACCCTTTCACTCTCTACATAAAAGGGGGAAAAGGTAAGGAAGGAACACTACGGAATGCAAAATGTAGAGATTATTGTCATCATGCTCTTTTAGGTGGTGTACGCTAAGGAAAAACAAAACTATAAAATATTTCTTGAAATAGTTTTAAAATACAGACATTATAGCTTTTAGCTCCATACCTGAAATCTATCCAATTATGTCATTATAAAAAGGACAAATCTGAATGGATGATCTGACAAGATATTAATACTTAGACTAAGTTTGGGATCATTAATTTTTTTTTTTAAGTAGTATTTTTATTTAGCAAAGATGCATCAAACTCAGGGCTCGAAATTGCGAACGTTTTGGTCGCATATGCTCTTGAAATGTAATCTGTCTGACCCCAAAATATATTTGGGAGCATTTGTGCGAGTGCAAATAATTGTTGTGGTGCAACCTGTCTTCATTTCTCTGCAAAACTTTCGCGAATTACTGCACAGTATGTGCCACAGTATGAGCTGATACAATGACCAGTCCACTATTTTACCCAGCTTCATCTTTACATTCTTGCGTATTTTAGATTGGTTATATTAGCCATCAATCACTCCCTTTCGCTGCACTCCGTTGTCACGTGACAAGACCGGTTTTAATTTTATTTCAGCCGGTGTCTGATCCGGACTTGCACAAACTACATTGAAATTATTTTCCAAAATGTCCTTTGTGTGGAAATATTACTAAGTCTGTAAATGGCCGTTAACAGAAGCCAGAGACGCTGAAGACGGATGCAAAGAGAAGAAAAATACTGTAGCTGGCAAAACAAGCTCACCGTTCGTTCACTATGCGTGAAATACAGAAAGAAACTCCTAAATATTGAATTGGGAGTGGGGGTTTATATGAATGCATTTCCTCTGAGGGGAACTGACGGTCTTGAGAAGTTTAAATGACATTTTCTACTCATCTTGCCTCTGTATATTGCATATATAAAAAAACAACGCGCAACAAAACGCTACAATGCTTTTCCATAAGCACCAACTGCTGTCAGAGAGTGAATTTACATTCAGCCCGCCCGCTGTTTTTGTTTCGTGCTGATATTTCATGTAGCATAAATTCAATTTCAGACCATTCTGTTTTTGCTTCAGATTTTGAAATTATACATTCTAATTTACATCTGAAACTGCTCATGTATGCAGCATCTTTCTTTGGATCATGATTAAAATGCGGTGGTTGTCTCTAATTTTAATGGCTACAGATACAGCAAATAAACATCTTGTTAATGTACTCATATTTTCATTTTTTCCTGTCTCTTACTTAAAAAAAAAAAAAAAAAAAAAAAAAGAAGAAAGAAAGAAAATAAATATTTTAAAAATTGGCTATCAGAATCAGCTTACTCACTTCTAAAACATCAGCAATCGGAATTTGCCATGAAAGATCGATACATCACTCTGTCTCTTTCTTAAAAAAAAAAAAAAAAAAAAAAAAAGAAGAAAGAAAGAAAATAAATATTTTAAAAATTGGCTATCAGAATCAGCTTACTCACTTCTAAAACATCAGCAATCGGAATTTGCCATGAAAGATCGATACATCACTAACAAGAAATGCTGGGCCAAGTGTGTGGAAAAGAATTCAGGATCAGGTTAAATTGTTGAAGCTTTTAATCATCAGGATGTTGCCAGACCTTCCACTCAATTGGCAGTTGTGATGCTCCTTAATATTCAGTGGGTGATCCTAAATTTTCGTTGGTGCTCCTAACTTCTTGAAGTTGGGAGCACCAGTGCTAGCAAGTAAAAAAGTTAAATTCGAGCCCTGAAACTGGTACATAATAGTATGCAATCACAAGAATAAACTACACTTTAAAATATATTAAATTACTGTAATATTACTGTGCAGACTTGGTGAGCATAACAAATCTAAACCTTTCAATGGTATTTAAAGGGGTCATATGATGCGATTTCAAGTTTTCCTTTCTCTTTGGAGTGTTACAAGCTGTTCGTGAATAGATAAGATCCCTAAAGTTGCAAAGACTAAAGTCTCAAAACCAAA